TCAGGATGTGAAGCTGGTAGCAATCCAGGAAACACACTGGAGGGGCTCTTGGCAATTCAGCAAGTCAGGCTGGCACGTGATCAGCTCTGGTTCCACAGGGGAGAAGGGAGCCGGGGTCCTCATAATGGTGCACTCCACGCTGTGCAAGTCACAGGATCTTCGCTACAATGAGGTTGTTCCAGGAAGAGTTCTCCAGGTCCGGGTGCCGAGCAACGGCATCTCACTGGACATCTTCAGCTGCTATCAATACGTTTGGCGCTATAAGGAGACCGTCGCTCAGAATAGGGAAACCCGGAAGCAGACCCTTCACGCCCTAAGTAAGTCCATCCGAGCTGTTCCCAATCGCAACACTCTCCAGTGCTAGGAGATTTCAACTCCTCGCTCAAAACCGACAACAAACACGTAGGGCCATGCACGATCCAAGCTTGTAGACTGGGGCATCGCGGGTCTAAGGATCTCCAGACCCTACTGTCGGAGCACCAGCTAGTCGCAACCAACACTTGGGGAGTGCATAGACCAGCCACCTATGAACAAGGCAACTCTGTATCACAGATTGACTTCTCGTTTGTCAGGATTGCAGAGTCCCAAGGCCCCGCCAGGTTCTGCCGGCCACTAAGGACCTTCCCAGTTGCATCCTGGAGGGATGGTAGTAGGCATTTCCCCCTTCTTGGTAAACTGAGACACAGCAGGAGATACTCCGCCCAAGCATCAAAACCCTACGACCAGCAGGCAATGGAGGATTGCTTTAGACACCGTTCCCCGAAAATACAGGCATTTGCCAGGGAGGTAGACTGCCTCCTTGACGATCATCCCAAAACCTGGCAGAGCCTCCATCAAGCAATGAACTCAGCCCTCGCGACTCACTTTCCCAAGCGAAAGGAAGCAGCACAAAGATCAGATCTCAGCATCTGGGAAGAGCGCTCTGTGCTACGTTCACTCCCACTAGCAGTCAAGGTCTTAGCAGAGTTCTTGCCTGAGCTGCAGGTCCGTATGGTGTTTCGATGCTGGCGCTCGTTCTCCCCGCAAAGTGCACAGGCGAGGGTAGCAAAGCGTCACAAGCAAGAGCGGCGGCGGCAGGAAATCGACGAACAACTCCAGCAGGCAGAGCTTAAGTCCAAGCAGGACGGGAGTCATTCCCTCTACAAGGTAATCAAGCGCTTCAGGTCGGGGAGGCCCCAGGAAAGAGTTCAGCTTCGTGATTCTGAGGGTCGCTTCCTTACTGCCAAGGAAGAAAGAAGACAATTAGAGGAATATTCCCTAGACCTGTTTGGAGCAGGGGATGACTTCCCGCTGTCAGGGATACAAGGCAGCCTGCACATCACTGAGCAAGAAGTGCAAGAACAGCTTGGCACAATAAAGCTGGGCAAGGCGGTTCCTAAAGAGAGTCCTCCCGTAGTAGCCTGGCGCTCCCTAGGTCCCCAAGCAATCCGGCTAATCTCGGACACCCTTAATAGGGAAGTCACTGCAGGAAGGCTCTCGGATAGTGTCACCTCGTCACAGATCTCCTGGCTCCCAAAGCCTCCCAAGAAGCCAGACAAACCAACCTCACTCCGTCCGATCGGGGTGATAGCACCAGAGGGTAAGGTCCTAGCCGGACTTGTACGGAAGAGACTTAAGTCTACCCTTCAGCAAGCAATGACCGGCGTCTCTCAGTTCGGCTTCGTCCCAGGCAGGGGCACAGAGGAGGCAATCTGCAAGGCCCTCACACATGTGGACCAGGCCAGGTTTAGACAGGCTATCACCACAAGGGCTGCAGGTAAGGGACAACAGGGGCTCAAGCTCAGAGGCAGTCTCACCGTGAGCGTGGACATGAGCAAGGCTTTTGACACTGTAAACAGGCTGCGATTAAGAGAGGCCCTGGAAGCCGAAAAAGCAGATCCTCTTCTGATAGAGGTGGTAGGACATCTCCACATCAAAGCCTTGTACAAGATGACAGCCAGCGATCAGAGCTTTGAGATAGCCACACGCAGGGGAATCAAGCAGGGATGTAAGCTCGCTATAGGATCCTCAGAGAAGGAAAAAGAGGAGCCGTTGCTAAAAGTTAAAAGAGTAGGGCCTAAGTCAAAAGAGCAGCACTGCAGACTGTACACAGCAGCACCAGCTCCTCGGGACCGGCCTCCAGGGCATAGGCCACTTGAAGTTGACGGCTGTTCCAAAGGCGTTGCCTTTATCTGACACGGGCGTTGCCCTCGACTCCTAATGTGACAGCCCGACTCACAAGGTCTTCGTCATGTAGCCTCCGTCACCCTCAATGTGAGTCATTGTGTCCAATACTCACGAACTGGCAGCCGGTGGGTCGTACTCAGAATAGCCGTCTCCCAGAGTTCCCGTCTAGTGGCGTCCCACACTAGGTAACTCCCGACTACCAGCGATGGGCCGTAAGGACAATTCGTCGTCAAAGCAAAAAACACGTGGGCCGTCACTCCTAGCGCTGCCTGACCCCGTCGGTAACAGGACAGTAGCGAACACACCTGGGAGGGCCGTAGCCGTAGCCCGACACCCATAGCACAGCAAGCGCGTCCGCTTAAGGACTGTACCCAGATGTGACGTGGAGCCGTACCAGGTAGACACCGTGCTGGAACTGAAGACGTTGGCCAACTCTGGTGAACCTGAGTCCCCAGTGTCCCAATCTGCACCTTGTCTTGTAGACAAGTCTGGCCCGGCGGCCCCCGAGAGGCCTCCCCCTCCAGAGAGGATCGCTCCTCTAGGCCCACAAGGGCACCCCTCAGCAAGAGGAGTCCCTGGAATGCCCGTCGACGCCAGCATTGGGAGGATGCTGACGCGTTGTGAGTCACCACGTTGCGCCAAAGCTCTCCTGAGTCTGACTTGCTCCCAGGCGCTGGCGGCTGAACAAAAGTGAAGCGCAGAAAACTCTCAACCGTGACGAAGAACTCTCGATCGCACTGGCTTCGTAGCAGCCGGTGGCAGTCCACTGTGCCGTTGAAGGAAAATCTAGTGCTCGAAGAAGACTGCATGAGAATACCAGACAATCCGTGTCCTTCTTGCGGAAGTGTACCAGTTAAAGCGCAAAACCAGAGCGCCAGCAAAACTGCGCAGGAAAGACCTTGAGCTGTACCTGGGTGTCTTGTCGTGTAGCTGGAAAGTCGAAGAGAGGAGCGGAACGAGGCCTCAACTCGAAAGCTTCCTTCAGGATACCCAGGTGCAGAAGATGGCCAACCCATGACTGGGGCCGCCCCTTGAATGGCTTGGTGCGGCAGGTCCTTTTGTAAATGAAAAAGCATCGGCGGGAGAAAAACACTGAGGCACAGTCGACGCGCCTTCCGCTAGTTTCGCCAGAAAGAGAGAACCCAATCTGACTCCTTTCACCCTGCGGAGGAGGTGAAAACCACTGCCGCTTACCTCGTGCTTTGCGTGTCGGACGTGCAGAGGCCCGGGAATTGGGACCCGGCAGATCACAGCGACCCGCGGCTCTGAGGGCAGCTATGGCTCGAAGAAAGGACAGTCCCTTAAGCTTCGCAGAAGGGGGGCGTTGCGAGCCTCTAGCGTTGGTACCCAGAGCCTTGTTAGCACAGCTGATCCGTAGCGGCTACAACAACAACAACAACAGCAGCAACAACAACAACAACAACGACAACAATAACCAACAACAACAACCAACAACAACAACCAACAACAACAACGACAACAACAACAACAACAACAACAACAACAACAACAGCGGCAGCAGCAGCAGCAACAACAACAACAACAGCAACAACACCGACCCCAACACCAATGCCAACGGCAACACCAACGCCAGTGCCAACACCAACACCAACAGCGCCACCGCGACAACAACGACAACAACATCAACAACAACAACAACAACAACAACAACAACAACAACAACAACAACAACAACAACATCAACAACAACAACAACAACATCAACACCAACAACAACAACAACAACAACAACAACACCACCAACAACACCAACACCAGCACCAACAGCAACAACAACAACAACGACGACGACGACAATAAAAGAAATAATAATGAGAAGAAGAAGAAGAATAGTAATAATAATAATCATCATCATCATAACAAGAACAAGAAGAATAAGAACAATAACACAAAGCAAAACAAACGACCTTCGCCACCCACAGCAGCAGCAACAGCAACAGTCAACAGCTCCACCACTACCAACACCACATCACCAAGACCAACACCATCAAAGCTTCCACAAGCTCTCAGGGCCGCTACTGCCCAAAACGGCTGCCAATCAGTATTTCTGCTACTTTCCGGCTTCTGCTGCATCGAGGGCTTACCAATCTCGGTGCTAAGCTGAGTCAATCAAACAATTCTAGTGCGGCAGGAGCCTGGTCCGCGCCGGCCTCCATTTGCTGCTGGAGGCTTGCACGGGAGTCGACCTGGTTGGTGGTCTTGGCACAGCAAGCGAACGAAGCAGGAACCCTTCAGGACTAAAGCATCCTTATCACTGCATTACACTTGGTTAGGGTGGGACATGAGGGATCATGACGGGACGTCCTTCAGTGTCCGATCTTTGCGCATACAACAATAGGACCTAGTGACAAAGAAACACAATAAATTCACCAAATAATTAGGATTCCTTGAGTATTGGCTGCTAATACCGCCAGCGGCAACATTGCAGCTGCAAGCACGATTGAACGGAAACCCATGATGCTGCAGGCTGCAGAAAGAACCAAAAGGAATTAGCCATGGCAACTATACACTAGTCAAAATTACTGTTACCGGCACGTATCCTCGCAACAGGCCTGATCATTGCACTCAGCAATAATATGTTGGTATCCTTCTAATCACCACCGCTGTCAGGACCATGACCATCGCAGGGGGAAATGAACTATAGCAAGAAAAGTACGAGACGGAGAGTCATATCAGTGGCTGCATCTGAAACAAAGTTGATCTTTGTTGCTTTGATGTCAGTTGGTTTGAAAGTATGAAGCGACACAGCTCTAACTTTTAACAGCATGTAGAGGTAGCAGCCATAGTGGCTGGGCTTTGCTTCGCAGGCCAGCCTCCAGGTTCAGTCGACGTTGCACTGCTGCGGCCGTTGTCTCCACCTCCTGGTTGTGGACGGCTGCACTGAAAGACAGGACAATCTCTCACGCTGTCTGTCTCTTTACATCGTTCCGCGTCCCCCTCCCTCCCTCTCACTCACTCACTCACTCACTCTCTTCTCCTCTCTCTCTCTCTCTCTCTCTCTCTCTCTAAATCTCTTTCTATATAATTTCTCTCTCTCTCTCTCTCTCTCGCTCTCTCTTTATTTTTTTCTCTCTCTCTCTCTCCCTCTCTCTCTCTCTCTCTATCTTCTCTTCTCGCTCTCTCTCTCTCTCTCTCTCTTTCTCTCTCTCTCTCTCTCTCTCTCTCTCTCTCTCTCTTGGTTTCTACTCTCTCTCTCTCTCTCTCTCTCTTCTCTCTTCTCTTCTCTCTCTCTCTCTCTCTCTCTCTCTCTCGCTCTCTCGAATTTACAACTGTCAGCAACTGTGTTGTGATTTCTTCGCAACAGTGGCCTTTGTTCCCGAAACTTACTTCCTGCCAAACCCTAACAAAAAACCCTCACGCCTGGATGTAGCCACGGGTGTCTCGCAGCATCTGTTGCGTCTGGCATGTGCGTAAGCAAAGATCACGTGTGCGCAGGCAAAGATCACGCGAGAAGCTTCTGCAATCAATGGCCATCAGAAGTTCCATAATAAACTGACTATACTTCCGGAAGTACCGCAATATCTGAAAGACTGCCTCTAAACAAGTTTTCAAGGCTGCATATGGCCCAACAATGAAACAGTTCAGATGCAGGAGTACCGCTTGGGTCCAGGCCTGCATGCCGGGTCGAAAATGCGAAACTGAAAAGAAGCTTCGAAGTTGCACGCCCGCAGCGTGTCTTTATCTGGAGCTATGTGTGGCGCGCAGTGCCGCGCACTGCCATGTCGTGGCGCACTTTGCTGGCCATGGCGCCGGCTCACAGCCACGTGAGCGTACGACTGTTTGAACAATTACGAATCCGCAGGCAAGCGGGAAATCGCCTGGTGCACAGCCGCCACAAGTTCTGCGACCTGCAGTTTGAGCGAATGGAGCAACAAAGCTGGAACCTGCACAGTGCCTGCATGTTTGGCAGTCTTTCAAGTCCATGCGACAATACAAAACACGCAAGGTGTTGCGTGCAACTCTTGCACAAGAGCCGTGGGATCTATGCCATATCCAGGCTGGCAAAGCTGGACCATCAAGGGAATGCAGTAGACGTCAGACATGACAAATCGTTGTGTAGGCCTGCTTCACCATGAAAATCATTGCCATCATCTCCAAGGTAGCAGGATTCAGAAATGCTTTAGCCAGAGAGCCGTCATGCAGGGGCCAAACTGCAGAGCAAAGCAGTAACACGACTGCACAATGAACCTTAATTCATGGCAGGCCGTGAAGATGCCGTGCCTCGCGTGCGCGGCCCTCTTCCATCAACGAAGCTTGGGCCTCGATATTGTCTTCACAATTGCAAAACTGTGCAAAACAACGATGGTTCTCTGTGTTCTTGGATTCTTGGGTATCGCAAGCAGCGATGCATAATCAAGAATGCCATCGCTCCAACTTGTCTCCTTGATTTCGCCCCTGCGCAGTGTTTACTTTGCCAAAGCCAACGACACGCCCTCGGTCTCTTGCTGCCGCTCACACTACTGCTTTTGCGGGTAGCACCTGGAAGCAACTTGCAAAACGACGCGCCGTTGTACTGTTCCCCAAACAATGTGCTAGGAATCTGACAGCTTCATTCACAGGGCGTGATCGCAATCCGCTGGTGTTACGTGTCATTGCCTTTGCTAACACTTCTTGCTGTAGTCTACTTACTGCACCACGCCAAACCAACCTTCAGGTTTAATTTTTACTCATGACGGCGATCATCGATTCCATTGCCTAAAAACCGGGTTCCCCTGCGTTAACCACTGTCGCCCTGGAGCGGCGCACCCAGTGGCAGGCGATTGCAACCTGCCACGTGCCATGCCACAACTAGTTTGGACGACCTTGACGATAACGAAAATAACTGCCACGCGCTGGAAACCAGCAGACATCGTCGAAAAAATTGCAATGTCACCACCATCACCACCACCATGACCACCACGACCACCAGCACCACTACCAGCAGGCAGCACCAGCACCAGCACCACTACCAGCAGCACCAGCACAAGCACCAGCACCAGCAGCACCAGCAGCACCAGCACCACTAGCACCAGCAACAGCAGCAGCAGCAGCACCACCACCACCACCAACGCTCCTCCTTAACATGACGACCAAATTTAGTTTGGCTACTGAGCCGCTTCCGCGGCAAGGGACTCTCATGCCAAAGAAACGTATCATTGCGACCAGGAAAGCCTGGAACGCTGCAACTGGCAGCACACCATATGGCACATGCAAGATGTACCACCAGTGTGATCACGAAAAGCAGCACCAAGGCCGACAGAAGCACCTCGGAACAACAATCTTCTTCTCCCTCTCTTTAACGAAGTCAACAGCACAGCATCAGTGCAAGTACTAACAGCGAATCCTGCAGATACAAACATGCATAACAATGGTCATGACGCTGTCAGCGGAGGAATAGGTGCCGGCGCCCACTGCCAGAATGGAGCAGAACATTGCCGGTATGATGCCCACATCAACTACACATTCGCTGCAGCCAACTTGCGATAGTCATTCACATGATCGGAGGCGAGGGCAGCATCTATACCCATTCAATAAGAGCAAGCGTGCCACGTCGGAATGCTGGTTTCGATAATCGCAACGCATGCACTCAGTGATCAACATGAAATGCGAGCAGCCCCGACTTGAAAAACTGACCAATGCAAGAACTAAGCTGGCGACTATATGCTGCTGTCCGGCATAATACGCCTGGAGCAGGGCCTCCTTTCCGACGTTCAGTGGCCCGCTCCGCCTCACCAGAACTTCTCAGCACAACATTCAAGATGGAGACTGGCATCCAACTGTGGCCCTGGCAGGTTCACAGCCTCCGGGAACAACAGCCCCATTGCTGCTGAAGCCGAATCTTGAAATTCAGCCTCTGCAACTTGAAACCTTTAACGGCCTAAAATCTAAACGCCCAAGCTTCAACTTGACCTCATGCTGAAAACCGTCAATGACTTCGGATGTGCTCCGGGCTTCAAGCGACTTCAGAAAGTCGGAAATGCAAAGTTCGGGAGCTTGCTGAAGCTGGTTGTAAACAAGGCCCTCCATAGGGCACGCCAATCTAGAACAATCCACAAACTTGTCACATTGGCTGGGAAATGGGGGTGGCTCGTAACCTCGCTGCAAACTTTGGCTTATGGGAAAGCATGCTTGAATGCTCACACTCGCAAGCTGCGAAGCCAGAGCTGCGACGAAGCGAAGGCATCACACCAACGCATGAGGTGGTGCCACAGCTTTTTTTTGGGATCTTGGTTCCCTTCCCCTATCATCTTATTGCTCTTATCACATTTTCCTGTCTTTATAATTTTCATATTCTTACCCTATCATGTTTACCATTTTTTATTAATATGACCCCCTATTCTTATCATTTTACTATATTTTTATCATAAATTTATTCCCTTTTCCTATCATTTTATTATTTTTATCAAGATGACCCCATGTCCTTATCTTGCATTTCTTTATTATTTTTGTCCGCTTCCCCTATCATCTTTATCATCTTTGTATCAATCTGACTCCCCTGTTCTTATCATTTATTCATTCCTTTATAGTCTTTAGCCCCTCCCTTATCATTTCATCATATTTTACCATCTGTATTTTATCGGATCTGTCATTTTCCCATATCATCTTTATCATTTATCTTAATCTGTGGTTTCCTTTCCGTATCATTACGGTCAATATCGGTATTCTTGTTAGGATTCTGCAGCCCAGCCTGTCGTTGAAGCTCCTTGTATGCATGTTATGGCACTCAGACGAAATATTTTGATTTTCCAATTAATGAAAAACCCCATGCGGCAGAAAGGGATCTGTGGCGATGGCGCAGTTCTCGCCCAAAGAAATACCGCATCACAATGCGCGGCGGAAGCCCCAGCTTTATTCGTGTGAACCAAATGGACGAAGCATCATAGAGATTAGCGGAAGTCAAAGTTTCGGTCCAAATGAAACATGGCATCACAGCGCAAGAATATCTTAAGCTGTCCGACCCCATAAGTCCGATAAATGAATAGGTTTATCTTTCCCGTAGGTCTTGTGCATAGAAAGGATTAGCTTTAATGTTCCACCCGGTAAGTCTTATAAAGAAGCAGGATTCTCTTTAGTGTCCCACGCATGGTTTTAATGAACAGACAAGACTTGCTTTGTGCTTCCCATATTGAACAACAGCAAAAAGGAAGAGGAGGAGGAGGAGGAGGAGATGAAGAAGACGTACAGTGATAATGTCCGCACATTATAACCCTTTCATTCTGCACTTTGTTGCGGTTTGGCTCCAAACCGAGCCTTGAACGTTGATGCTTTGTGGCAGCCAACCGAGCGGAGTAAGAGAGCAGTAATGCAAAATCACGCGCTTTTGTAATAGCCTGGACGCGTATCTCGGAAACTTGGATGATACTTCGAAAACAAGTTCTGGGGCCGCTAAGCCATTCATGGTACCCCCCCGGACATGCCACCTGCAAGCCGGTTGCACGCCACTGCACCCCCCAAGCCCCTTGTGCAGCACCTGCATGCCACCTGCATGCCACTGCCCCCCCCGAAGCTCCTTGCAGACCACCTGCATGCCGACTGCATGCCACTACGCTACGCACCACTGCACCCCCCAAGCTCCTTGTGGACCACCTGCGCACCACCTGCATGCCGAATACATGTCACTGCACCCCAAAGCCCTGGCGGACGACCTGCCCCACCGCATGCCACTGCACGCGACAAGCCCTCCCCCCCCCCTCCCACCCCCAGCCCAACGATCAGCACAATGAGCCTGCGCCCCTCTTTCCTCTCTCCCGCCCCCGCGACCATCAGTGTAATGAACCTTCGCCCTTCTTTCCCCCCCGCCCGACTATCAGCGCAATGAACCTGCGCCCCTCTTTCCCCCTTCCCGCCCCAGGAGTATCAGCGTAATGAACCTGCGCCTTCTTTTCCCCCTTAATCCCACCCCAATGTACCGAATCTGCGCCCCTCTTTCGCCCCTTCCCACCCCCAGCCCGATTATCACCGTAATGAACCTGCTTGCGGACCACCTGCATGGCAAGGTCGCCGTGGACCAGCTGTGGACCCTCAGTTCAATGCGAATCCCATAGAAGTATCTCTAAAACAACACGCCCGCATCCTTGCTTTTGCAATGTAGGGCCTCCGTGAAAATCGATCTTTTTGCTTGCCTCCACTGAATAAAAACAACACCACGGAGCTATGTCCCATGCAGGCTGGCCCGAGCCGCAAAGACCAAAACTCCAGAAATAACACAAAGCATCAAATAATTGAATAAAAACCTGGAGGCGCTAAGCCACTCGTGAGTACCACCCCCAAGCATGCCACCTGCATGCCACCTGCATGCCACTTGCATGCCACTTGCATGCCACTGCAGCCCCGAAGCAATTTGCGGACCACCTGCAGGCCACTTGCATGCCGACACTGCATGCCAACACACGCCACTGCACCCGTCAAGCCCCTTGCGGATCACCTGCATGCCGACTGCGTGCCACTGCATGCCGCCTACTGGCCGGCTGCATGCCACTGCATGCCACTGCACCCCCAAACCCCCTGCGGACCACCTGCATGACGACTGCACCCCCGAAGGCTTCCGTGGACCAGCTGTGGACCTTCATTTTTTGAGAACCCCATGGCTAAAGTTATTTGGGAAACAAAAATAGCGCGCCGCGGACATGGTCCATGCAGGCTGGCCCATGCCGCAAATGTTGCCGGTCAAGCATCAGAAAACATCAGAAAGTATTATTTTCCAACGAAACTTCCGTTAGCGCGCGTTTGGGGAACCCTAACTGCGCTGCAGAGGAACCCTGTGCAAAACACTCTCTTTTTTCTCCTAGCGGACATGGGGGGTCAGTTCGGGCCCGATCTTCGGGCACTGGCGAAACGATGCCACTGGCATTTCAGTCCAAAACTCGACCGCTGGTCGATGGTAAGGCGAACGACTGGTTCACCCCCCCTACCAGGGAATAACCCGTACCACGGGGAGATACGGTGAAACATGCTAGGACCTACTGGGTCACTGCAGCTACCAGTTGCTACTCTGTAGTTGCACGGCCTACGGCCTATGTACAAAAGCGCACTCTGTGCTGACGTCTCTCTGCGGGAGAAAACATAGGAGCGCTGCTCCTGGCAGCTCTGCTGCCGAAGCGGTGTCCTGGACCCCGCATACTATACAGGGTGTGGTGGGTGGGACAAAAACTTTTTGGATCACAGATCCAACTCCAAGCCGAAAGCTGCACGGCAAAGTTTGTCTAGTGTCACTCACACACAAGTGAAAACACTGTTTTCCTTTTTCGACAAACTTTGTCTACACTTTCGGCGGAAAATAAAACCCATTCACGCACGCATGATGGATGCTTATTTTCCAACGAAACTTCCGTTAGCGCGCGTTTGGGAAACCCTAACTGCGCTGCAGAGGAACCCTGTGCAAAACACTCTCTTTTTTCTCCTAGCGGACATGGGGGGTCAGTTCGGGCCCGATCTTCGGGCACTGGCGAAACGATGCCACTGGCATTTCAGTCCAAAACTCGACCGCTGGTCGATGGTAAGGCGAACGACTGGTTCACCCCCCTTGAGGCACTCGAAGCCTTACTCACCCCCCATCTAGTCCGCGCCGAGTGACAATGCCAACGACACTGCGTTGGGCGGCAGGTATTGGCGCGCTGCGCCTAGCCGCTCTGTCTCTTCCCACCAGTCTCTGCTGGGGCCGTCAGCTATGTTGCTGTCCGTGGGGACTCGAAAGAAAGCAGCCCTGCACTGCAGGGACTCTTCGAAGTCCACCGCTTGCAAGACTATCGCTGCGCCTTCCACTTTGCGTGTGAAGGCTTTGTGCAAGGAGGTACGCGCTGCGTCGTTGTCTATCCAGACGAACAGGTCACTGCCTGCTATATGCTTGGCCCACATTTGAAGGCTGAGCAAGTAGGGCAACAGTTCGCACTCGTAGACGAGCTGCTGCTTCTGTGCCCTGGCGGCCCACTGGGCTGTAACTTGACTGCTGATCTGCAGCCCCCAGGTGAAGGCGATGCCTTCTCCAATGAGCACTGCTCCGAGGCCACACTTGGGCACGAGTCTCGGGGTCTCCCACTCGCAGGCCCCGTCGATGTACAGGTGGACTTTCCTGCGCGCATGGATGGACACTGTCCTGGGCGGTCCGTGCACGACTCTTTGCAGCAGGAACGCCATGGCTTGGCATTGCTGCTCTGTGAGGGGGACTTGCTCTGGTCCATCCCCAAGGACGTCGCCTACGCAGATCACTGCCATGCGAGTGTTGCGACCCCAGGCTTGCTGCTCAGCGAAGATGAGCCTGCCGCGCAGGCTCTGCGCTTCCAAGGGGGACATGCTGCCGCGGGCGAGGGCCTCGCTGAGGACCAACCCCAGCTCTGCTGAACGGGTCGGCTTGTTGCTCACTGAGACTTCTCCAAGGTGCTGCTTAGACAAGTCCACTCGTACGCCTAGCACGTCAAAGACTTCGCTGAAGTCTGCGTTCTTTTTAGGCTCCGTT